CCCCAGGACAGCGGATGGCGGTTCTCTGAGCCTTCTTGACGCCCTACCCCCTCGGTTTGCTCCCTGCCTGGCACTGGGCCAAGCATTTCATCTTTCATTTGCCCGGCCACGTTCTAGAGGGTTCAAAGAATATTCACTATTAATCGCCATGACCACCTACGAGGAGGGGACCGTCATTAGTTCCATCTTATGAATGAGGAGGTCAGGTCTCTGTCAAGGTCCAACAGCAGAGCTGAGATTCGAACCCCAGTGTCCCAGCTCCAGAGCCAAGCGCTTGTCCATTTCGCTACACATTCAACCCAGTGATTATTTATTCTGTTTAGAGGCTCCCTGGGGCTGAGAACAGTCGACTGGACAGGAAAGGAGGCCTCGCCGGCTGTAGAAGAACTAGAATGAAGGTGGACTAGAATGTGGGCATAAAGAGACGCTGGGCCTTTGTGGGCCCGCAGGCCAAAGCCCTTGCTCCAACACAGGTGCCGTCCTCACCTGTCTCTGAAAGCCACTGTGCCTGGCTGGGCGGTCCCTGCTGGGAGGCGTCCGGGAGGGAGAGTGGGGGCAGGTGGGGGCAGGGGCAGATGGCTGGGCCCTGCTGCTCCTCAGCCAGTTCTGCAGCTGCTGCCCCCACCACCGCAGCACCCACCCACAGCTCCTCTCTGCCGGCCTCAGGCCCTCCCTGCCCCCTAGTTGAGGGAAGGCTCCCCTGAGCCACATCCTGTCACACTCCCTCCCCCATCATTCAGGGACACCCAACTGTCTGCCCACCAAAATATGCCACTTGCTGTCTGTGTAGCCTCGGGCTTGTTGACAGTTGGATTCCTTAGAAACCCTCTGGGAAGAAAGACAGAACTGCAGTCGAAGCTTCTGTCTGTGGATCCGTGAACCTCTTGTCTCCAGTTCCTGCTCACCCTTCCCCTCCCTCGCTGTTTCCTTCAGTCCCAGGACAGACAGACGGAGAGATGGGGCAGGCGGGCCATTGCCCTGCGAGTCGGGACACCTGGGACCATCCTGACTCTACCCTGAGGCTGCGTGTCAACGCGTGTGTGTGTCTGTGTGTGCCCGAGTGTGCAGGCAGGTCAATGCGTGTGCCCGAGTGTGCGTCTCACCCAGCTTGAGCAGCCAGCCCTCGCGGTCAGGGTTGAAAAAGGTGTGAGTGAGGTCATTGCCGTCATCCTCAGGAATGGAGAAGGGCTCACTCTTGATACTGTCGAAGAGGTTCTGCCCCAAAAGAGAAGGAAAAGAAAGTCTTGGTGGTGATGTCCATCTCAGTCTGGGGCCTGGGCCTAGCCTGACCTGTGTGGCCTCGGGCGGGTCACCGGACCCCTGGGCAAACTCCTTCCTCTCCTTTTAGCTCATCATTAGTCCCTGGCCTTCTTGGTGAAACCCTCCCTGGTTTCCCCAGGTCCGCTGGTGCCTCCCCCGCCCCCATAGTGCTGAGCGAGTGGGGTCAGAACCTCAGAGATACTGCGCCTGCTGCCTCACCCACGGCCCCCATGCTGTCCGTATTTCAACGTCAGTTGCTGGTACTGAACTCCCCGAACCGGGGAGCTCCTCCAGAGCAGGACTGGGCGTCATAGTTCCCAAGCCCCCAAGGGCCCGGTCTAAAGCAGGTTGGCAACTGTTTGCTGACTACTAGTGGATTATGGTCCTCCCCAGCCCCCACCGGAATTCCAGCCAGTGGCACGAACGCTCATGGTGGGACCAGAGCACAGGCTACTGCATCAGGCCATGTGGGTTAAAATCCCAGCCCAGTCACTCCACGGCTGTGTGACCCTAGGTCTGTCTCTCAACCTCTTCGAGTTGCTGTGTTCTTATTCCAGCACAAGGCTGACTGGCCAGGGCTCTGGGGAGAGTAAGTGGACTAAACAGGGTCAGAACCTCACCTCTCCAAGTCAATAGAAGGTGCCGAGGAGGGGGCAGTACAGACCCCGTCTGCACCTCGACCACCCAGTGCTGTACTTTCAGGCCAGGTGAGTGAACTGAAGGCTGTCATCCCTGTGCCCGAGTGAGGATGTTGGAGGCAAGGACACTCAGCTGGGACTTGTGCACTCTCACACATTTATCTGTGTGTGTGACACACACATGCACATCTGGGGCACAGCAGCTGAGGTCAGAGCCATGGGTGGGTGTGGGGGGGTCCTCTCATCTGCTTAGGTGCAGTAGCAGAGACTTCCAGGTGCACCCTGGGCGAGGGGCTGGCTGGAGGACAGAATCAAGGTAGGATGCTGACTTTGGATCTCAAGGGCAAAGACCTATTCACGGTGGGCTCTGATTTCGGGTGCAGGGAGTCCCCAGAAAGCAAATTTCAGTTCTCCATGGAGGACGTTCTAGCAGTTAGAGCTGCTGAAATATGGGAGGAGCAGTCTTCTAGGGTAATGAGTTCCCTGTCACCGGAGTTTTGCAAGCCAGGGCTGAGAGCTCCCCGTGGGCAAGTCGTGGGTGTCAGCGACGGATCACCCCTGTGTGTTCTGAATCCTCTGGGGACACCGGGTTCCATGAAACACATCACAAACTGTCTGTTTCTGCTTATTAAAATCAGACACAGTGCTAGGTCTCCATCTTTAAGACAATTAAATAATTTCTTTCTCTTGCATTTGTGTATGCTGCTATTCAGATGGTTTCCTTGAAATTTTTAATGAAAAATTTCACAAGTACTGTTTGATACCCCCCAAAGTTTTAGGTAAATGGTGTTTGCTGGTTTTTCAAGGCCTTTTCTGACCTGAGAGCTCAGGGGTGGGGGTGGGGCAGACAGAAGCAAGTTTTCCTGGGCTTGACAGAGGTGTGTTACAGCCGCAGACTCCAGTACCTGGGCTCAGCCTGGATGTGGTGGGTGGGCATGGCAAAGGGCAGGGATCACTTGCCCTTTCTGGAGCCCGTGCATCCCCTAGAGCAGTCGAGAAGCCCCATCGCCCCTCCTGCCCAAGCCCAGTCTGGCCCTAGGAATTCCCAAGTGGCACAGGCTGGTTAAACAAGGGCCTGCAGCAGGAGGGCCTTGTCAGCAAAGCTGTCAGCACAGACAAATATTTGGAAGGCCCAAAGCGGCGGGCAGGGGAACAGACAGGCCTTGGCTTCCACGACACCTGCAGGGGGCCCTGTCAGCTCCTACGGGCACCATATCAGCCTGCGCATTCTGCCCCCACAAAGAAACCAGCTCAGCTCGCCCACATTTCCTGTACCTTGTAAATACCAGCCCACTCCCCACCCCCGCACGCCCTGCTACCAAACCGCTAGGTCAGGCTGTCTTCTCCCAGCTGAGCAGTCGTGATCAGATAGACAACTGCCACCTTCCGGTGGTTCTGCGGGCCTTGCATTTGTCCCTCCCCACCCCCTCAGTTTTCCTCTGGGGAATCACCCCGACTCAAACACATACTTTCTGTCCAGGTTGCTTGGGGGAGTCAGGGTGGGGGGTCGGCACTCACTGCCCCCTAATTCCAGGCTCCAGGGTGGATGCGAATGACTCTCATCTAGCTAATCAGAGCGTTTCATCCTGCTGGCCACAGTGACTGGTTTAGGGAGGGACATGTGACCAAAGCTAGCCAATCAGCCTTAATTCTGGGACTTTAAATTGCTAAGCAAGATGGAAGCCTGGAGCTGCCTGAGCCATCTCTGCCGCAGCTTGGGGACATCCTGTTTGAGAGGAAAGCCGACATGGAGGGGAAGGCCGTTGAGAGTGGAGAGACCAGACTGAGGCCTGACCTCGCCGAGCACCTGGATCTAGTCAAACCCGAAGCTGACAGATCTGAAGCCCAAATTGATCCCTGATCTTTTCCATTACATGAGTTTAGAGTCCTTTAGGTAGGAAGCAACTGTCGGCAGCGACACACAGCCGAGTTCTCTGTTCCTAAATTGTGCCTCTGGTCACTGCAGAGGGAAGGGCTCTGGAGTCAGACGGATAATTTATGATCGAATGTGAACTCACAAACTATGACACCCCCTGACCAGCTACCCCTCTCCGAGCTCGGTTTCTCTCATTGTAAATTGGGGACGGTACCTTCTGCTGAAGGTCATCGGAGGGATTTAGTGAGAACGTGAAATACCTAGAACTGGGCTCAGACAAGGTCAATTCTGATGGAGTCACTTGGACAAGGACCCAGGAGGTTTGGGGCAGCCCACAGCAGAAGATGCTCTGAACCAGGAGACTGTTCCCTGCCCAAACCTCAGTTTCTCCACCTGTAACCCTCCTCCCCGTCCCCTCTCCTCCTCCTCCTCCTCCTCCTCCTCCTCCTCCTCCACCCTCGCTCCCTCTCCAGGCAGCTTTCTCAAGGTGAGAGATTTCTTTTGGTATTTTTCAGGTGCCTGCCAAGTGCCAGGGACTTCAAGGGCATTATCTCTGTCTCTCAGGAGGATGACATGAGGTAAGTGTCAGCCCACTTTGCAGATAAAGATACTGAGGCTTACACTCAAGGTCACACAGCCATAAGGGCAGAGCTGGGATTTTGTCTAATGCCCTCTGAGCCCACCCTCCCACCTCGTACCTTTCTGAAGCCTTTCCCAGTGGCTCACCCTCACGGTCTGCGAGCCCTTGGGGTGATCTCTCTTAAGGTCATGTATCTGCATCAGTTTAATTTCATAAATCAGGCCACTTAAAAGCATATTGTCCTCGGCAGGGCCCAAACTGGAGTAGCTTCGTGGAGAATCTGTCCTCAAAGTGGCAAACTTTGAATATCTGAAGGTGCTTAAAGCCGAGTGCTTGCTTTACATGTGGAGAAGATGAGGCCCAGGGAGAAGGTGAAAAGACACCCCGACATCCACAGCAACTACCTGTGAAAGCTTTGAACAGCAAGGACCAGGCCTGTGTGGTTGGTTCTCTTTGTGCCCTGCGAAGCTTCTGGATTAGTTAGCCCCTCCGACTACACCAGGCGCTTTGCTAAATACCTTACTTTTTTTTCTACACTAATCCTATGACCTGGAAGCTCAGACGAGTCAAGCCACTAATGTCACACAACCAGAAAGCGGGGGAGCCAGGACCTGGCTGTGGCTGTGACTCCAGAATTCTTCTCCCCTTGCTTGGTCTCTGCCTCTTCTGGCTGCCGAGGAGGATAATAAACCCTTTCCAGACCTCCCAAGCAGAGTTTGAAGCTAAATTGAGATAATAGACCTGAAAACCCTTCGAGGAGAAAGTTGCAAGCTCTATACAAATGCAGCGCATTGTTATCAACAAAAGGCTTAAATTGGGAAAAATATCTAAGGAGGGTGATGCCGAAGAAGGCTCACTGGGGGCTGGAGCAATAATGTGGCACCTGGGAGATCCTGCAGGACTGGTGCTGGCTTGTCATTAACTCGTAAACTGCCAGACAAGGTGCGTGCCCAGCTTCCTGCTTATGAGTACCACAATGGGATGAGTCAACAGTTCTCAAGTGCCTTTTATGCTGCAGGCATTTTACTAAGTGCCGGCGTTTTAAAATGATTATTAATTATTCTTTACAGTGACATAAGCCACCATTTAGAGCCTGTGCTATGTACCTGGCATGGACTATGACCTTTACATTTAAAAAAATTACTATGCATCGCAGCTCTGTGACGCAGGCATCATTGTCCTGGGTGAGGGAATAGTGGCTTAGAGAGGGTGAGTCATTACCCAAGGTCACCCCAGCAGGCAGATGGCGGGGAAGGGGGATAAGATTTGACCTGAGCTCCCGACCATGATTGATTTTCTCTTCTGGGGACAAAGGAGGGAGGTGGGCTAAGGTGGCCCTTCCCAAATAAGGGGGGCACCAGAATCATTCCAGACGCAGGCCCCCGCACCCCCAGACTTCCTCAGCAGAGACATGCAGGGTGCTAAGCCAGGAGGGCGGGCTTCACGCCGTCTCCCCACCCCTGCTGTGCTCTGACCAGGAGAGGACTGAAGCTCTGTTGAGCTCTGGGGTGTCTCTGGTCCTAGAAATGAACTGTCAATTCATTTTTGCTGAGCCAGGCTCTGAATCTCACTCCTGTGTTTATGAATCTGCTTCTGGCTCCCTTTTGTCCATAGGAAACAGGTGAACTCCTGAAGCCATCATTCGAAGCTCTGCACACTCCGGCCCCACCTTGCCACCCATCACTGTGTCACTGTCCAGATGCACCCACACCCCCGGCAGCCACTCTGGATGCCCCTCCTTTTCTGAACCACGCCAGGCCTGGGTTCTGGCCACTTCTTCCTGGAATGTCTTTTCTGTGCTTCTCTGGAGTAACTCCCACTCGACCTTCAAGGCCCAGTTCAAAAGTCACTTCCTCTGTGAAGCCTTCTACGATGGCACCTTTCCCTGCCCCCAGGAGAGTGACAGTAGTGTCCTCTGCACCTCCACAGCTACGTTCCCATAGTGAGCACAGCATGAATCACCCAGAGCTGTAATTCACATGTGTATCATCTTTCCACCAGACCCTGAACTTGGCCTGGGTAGGTTGATTCATCCCTGGGTGCCCCTTGCCGGGCACAGGGTCTGGCACAGTGTGACAGGGGTGGCGGCCATTTGAAAAGGAGACGACAGGCCTGGGTTCAGCCCTTGAGCTGACGCACAATCTGGTGGAAGACCTCAGTTTCCTCCTTGCTGGAGGCGGGTGGGGTTTGGGCACAGAGTGTGAGGGTTTTCAGCTCCTACACGCTGAGAACCTCAGAATCTGGGGTTCCAAGAAATCGAGGCGCCCTTTCTAGAAGCTGTGAAGGGTGAGTGCCCGGAGTACCCCAGGGCTTGAAATCGGGCAGGACCTCCTAGTGGTCTGCCTCTGGACATCCTCCTTAAGACGGCGGCCACTTGGAAAGGGCCATCTCAGGGCCGACGTCTTTTTGTGGTGGTCCATCTCAAGACAGCCACCGACTCCCCGGGGGTTCACCTCACAGGGGTCCCCCGTTGGAGTCGTCTATCTCAGGGGAGTGGCCCTTGGGCTATCAATCTAAGACGGGCCACCCCAGGTGCCTGGGGACTGGGCTGGGGGGGTCACGCCCCTCTTACCCGCAGCTGCTCCTCGGGCAGGTCGCTGCCGTCATTGATGCCGCGGTTCATGGACACAAAGCGCTCGAAGGGCGGCCTGTCCCGGACGTTGGGGTTGTGGAGGCTGGTGTTGAGCATGATGATGGAGAAGGACAGGACGTAGCAGGTGTCTGTGGTTTGGGACAGCGGGTCAGAGTCCTGGCCCTGGTCTCTCTTCCCTCCTCTGCCCTGACCCCTTTTAGGGATCAAAGATCAGCCATCTCACGGCCCCAGAGACCCACTCTGTCCTCCTGGCTTGGCATTCGAGGCCCGGCCTCACTTCCCACTCTTAACTGGACTCCCTGCTTCAAAGAAACTCCAGCTGTCACGTTCCGAGCCCCTCCCTGCCTTCCCACCCCTGCATTTTTGCTCTGGCTGGCCCCCCTGCCAGGCACGTCCTCCCCTTCCCTTTCCTACCCATTCAAACCCTCCTTCTTTTTCAACTCCAGCTTCAGCCCTCCTCCCCGCCGAGCCCTCCCAGCCCCGCTGCCCACTCTGTTCTTTGCCTCCTCGGATCTCGGAGAACACTTATTGTTGGCACCACTGTTCAGGGCTTAGTCACGTGTTGCTTGGTAATCTGGCTGGCATTGTGGGGCTTCTGGAGCCAGAGCGACTGTTCGTTCCATGATTCAGACATTCACGTGCAGGGGGCAGCGAGCCTGGGTGGAGCACTCGGGAGGGAGGTAACTGCTACGCTGTGGTTTATGTCCAGAGCCAGGGAAGTCCTACTGTGTCCCCAACGCTCCAATCGACTTTGGGAAAGTCCCTGACCTCTCTGACACTCAACTTCCCTATCTGTGACACTGGGAGGTTTAACTTTGAAGTAGCTTCATGTTCTATAGAACATTAGCGATTCTACCTCTGATAACGGCGGCACCTAACATTGTTGGTGCTTGCCCTGTGCTAAGCAAGTCCCATCTGCATGATGACTCTGTGAGGCAGGTACGGTTACCACCCCCACTGTACAGATGAGGAAACCGAGGCACAGGAAGGTTAAGTTACATGTCTGAGGTCACAGAATTAAGATGTAGTTGCACTGTGATTCAAATCTGGTGCTTTAAAATTCCTTTGTTCTTACAAATATTTATTGAGTACCTACTAAGTACTGCGGGCTGGGGACTCACAGGTGAATAAATAACTGATGTGGCCCTGCCCTTGTGGGACATTGAGACTTGTGGAGCTGGCCGATAAAACGAGCAGGCACTAAAATCATCATCTATGACTACGAGCCGGGGCAGACGCTCTGTAGGACTTGTCCATGGACACATAGCCAAGGAGTGGCGTGTCCCTGGACAAGTCACTTTACCTCTCTGAGTCGGTGTTGCATGCGGGGATGAGAGTACCACAGACCTCGTAGAGCGGCCGTGAAGATTAAATGACGCCATGGGTAAAGCACTTAGCGCATGGGGAGACTCGAGAAATAAAACTGGTTACTGTCGTCATGGTAACTTCAGATCCCGAGAAGAGTCCAGGACCAGTTGGCCGCGATGGCTTCTCATCCACCCTGTGCTAGGGAGTATGGAGGACTGACCTTCATTGATATCCTTCTGTGTGCCTTTGCCTCCTATGTCCTGCTCAGGCTGTTTTATGCCTCTGGGTCATTTCTTGAACTAGAACTCCTGACCAAAAGGCCTTTTCACCCTTTGACTTCCTGGAGAACTCCTATTCATTCTTTGAAACCCCATTCAGACCTCTCTGCCTCTGGGAAGCCATCTTGGACATGTGGACTCCCCTGGCCCTGCCCTCAGACAGGTGTGCTGCTGCCCTGCCCCGCCGTGCCATCATTTTCTGTCATCTCTCCCAAAGGTCAAGCCCTGGGGCAGCTCTGCCCAGCAGGCAGAGGGCCTGGCACAGGGCTCCCAGGATCTGGGTGCTTGAGGGAAGCCCGAGGGGGTGGGGTGGCCATGGTGCTTTGGGAAGCTGATCAGTGTCTGACAATGCCGAAGGGTTTCTGGAGCCCCAGATCGCACCCCACACTGGCACCTGTGGACTGGAAGACGCCCGGGTTGCAGAGGCAGTATCGAGTGGCAAAGGTTTCCATCATCCGATCGATCTTCTGGGCCTCGCCAGGCAGCCGGAAGCTCCACAGGAACTGCCTGGGGAGGGAACAGGGCTGTGGGCAGTGGGGTGGGTGGGGACTCTCAGGGACACCTTGAAAAGCTACTCTGCCTCCCCCACACGCTTACTCTCTTTATCCTACAGATGGGCGAATCTGCACCTGTCATCTAGGCTCATGGGGAGGAGTAAGTGGCATTTGTCTTGGTGAGCACCAGGCTTGCAAGAGGTTTCCAGGAAATGCCTTTTTTTTTTTTTTTTTTTCTGAATATGAGAGTAAGTATGAGCTTCCTTTTGCCCATCTGAGTCCTATCACCTTTTGTGGTCCAGGACACCTTAGCCCATGAGGAACCTCTGCCTGCCCCAGGTTCTGCAGCTCCCCCTTCCTGACTGTGGGGCCCTGGGCAAGTGCCTTCCCCCGGTTGGGACACCTTTTCTTGGAATCTAAGCTTCTAGCCCTGGAAGTCGACGATTTCCACAGCTTTACGTTCTACCCCTTGAGGTCACGTGCTGTGCCTGCGCCCCTCACATCTCCTGCGGGGCCTCTTACGGGCCCGGGCACCCAGGAGCTGCCCTGTAAAGAGCTGTCGAATGTGAATGAATGAATGAATATTGGAGCCTATCCCTCTCCCTCACAGAGCATGACGGTTGGAGGGAAGGCCACGTTGCCCGGATGGTATTGTCTTCTTTCTTTTCTGCCTTGAAAACTCCTAATCAGCCTTCAAAGTCCAGCTCGAATGCCCCTCTCCTGGGAGCCTATTTTTCCAGGCATTGAGCAGCAACGAGACTTCTTGAACACTTACTGTGGGCCGACTCTAAACACTTTCTCGTTCAGGCCTCACAACCATATGAGGTCGGTGCTATGATCCCCAGATGGGGAAACTGAGGCACACAGAGTTTTTGTGTGTGTGTGTGTGTATTTTTTTGTGTGTGTGTGTGGCTTGCCCAAGGTCACAGTGGGTGTCAATGGCAGAGCTGGGATATGAACAGGGCAGTCTGGCCCCAGAGTTTGTGTTCCTAACTGATATACTATAATGCCTCCTGTAGTCGTAAAAGTAAGAATAGAAACTACAATACATTAATTAGAAAGTAATAAGTAATAATAATGTAATACACACCACGCTGTATTCATAGAGTACATAAAACAAGCACTATTCCGAAAACTGGCGGGACTGGCAGTAATAATAGTAATACCAATTACACTGATTAAATATTATTATAATAACGTGGGGATGTAGTAATACCAGCAGGAGAAGCAGCGACGAGCCAGGCAGTCCACAGCTGTCACCCCTCTCAGCCTCCGCTGTAGGAGGCAGGTACTGTCATGCATTAAGTTTTGCTCCTGACACTTTGTGGTCATGTGGATTGTGACGTCCCTGACCCCCGCAACTCCTGGCCGTGCCACCTTCGAAGGCTGAGCCCCTGCCCCCTGGACTACTCACCTGAGGGCCTGGACGAGGTTGAGGTTGGCGAACTCATGGCAGTCCACGAAGGCCTGGAGGACCTGCAGGTTGATGGGGTCCCTGGGAAGGGGGCAGAAGGGAGGGTGGGGTGCACTGAGGAACTTCCTGGTACCCGCCTCCCGGAGAGGGTTGAGGTGAGGGAAGGGGAGGGGATAGCTGTCCCCCTTCCGGATCCAGCCACTGTCTGTTCTGCTCACGTTAGCGTCACCCACGTCGTTCCCTTTAGCCACGTGCACGCCCTCCCACCCATGAGCAGACCCCCAGCACCCCATGGCTCGCCAGCACCGTTCTCACCTAGGAGGAGGGTCTGTCTGGCTTTGGAGCGGCTTGCCCTGACTCGAATCTTTCCTCTGTCACTGCCTGCCTGAGTGACCTCACTCAAGCCGCGTGACCTCCCCAAGCCACAGTGTCCTCATCTGTCAAATGGAGGCAATCATGCCTAAGCCCGTTCCCCGCTCTTCTCAGCTCTTAAATCACGAAGTGGCACCTGTGTTCCCCGCTTGCTCCGGAAAAAAAAAATGTGTTCTCTGGGGAGCCTGAGAGAAGGGTTGCTGGCGTGCTGGCCCAGCTCCGCCCTTGTCCCTTACAGTCCAACCCCACCCCCCAAACCAGCAGCCAGAGGGGTCCTCTCAGACCACGCCTCTGCCCAGAACCCTCCCGTGGATCCCCACCTGGTCACCTACTAAACCCTCCCTCCTTCCCTCGCTCCCTCCAGTCTCACTACCGTCTAGTGACTGTGCCTCTGCCGTGGGGCCTTACACTGCTGTTTCCCCTGCCTGGGGCGCTCTTTCCCCAGACCCCTCCTCTGCTCTCCTCTAAGGCAGACATCGCCTTCTCCGCGAGGACATTCCTGTCCACACTGAAGTCACAGCCCTCGACCGTGGTCCCCAGCACTTTTCACCTCCCTTCTCTGCTTCATTTGTATTCCAAAGAATTTATAATTTTCTAACACGTTTTACATATTTGGGGGTCTGTCTTCCCCACTGGAATGTGCCCCCCTGAGGGCAGGAGTTTTGTCTGTCTTAATCACTGGTGTAAATACAGGGCTTACAGTAGTGCCTGGCATAGAGCAGATAGTAACAGATATCTATTTGTGAGGAAAGAAGGAAGGAAGGAAGGAGGGAGGGAGGGAGGGAGGAAGGAAGGAAGGAAGGAAGGAAGAAAGGAAGGAAGGAAGGAAGGAAAAGAGGAAGGCAGGGCAGGCTTTTGTTCAGAATTTGGAGGGACGTGATCAGTTAGCCCCCTCGAACTCCAGGAGTTATGACTTTCCTAATATAATTCACTCTCTCACTCACTGCACACACACAGATATCCACACTCATTTTGCACACTTGCACACCCTCATTCCCTGCTTCCCCAAGGCCCCATCTCCTTACCTCTCCCCCAGGTAGGCGCCGATGGCCGTCTTGTTGAGGCCCTCGCCCTTATACAGGAACTGGGCGATGTCCTGGGCATCCGGGGTCAGCAGCTTGTGCTCAGTGAGATACTGGATGCCCTGGAGATGGTACACAGAGCCATGAGCAGCCCCTGCACAGCAGGTGGCTCGGGAGCAGGAAGGAAGGGAGCCCCCGTGGCCAGCGCGTGCAGGCC